CGCGCCGCGTCGCCCTCGGGGTCGCCCAGCGGGCACTCCAGCCCGCGGGGCCCCCAAAGTTGGCGTTGCGGGCCGGGCGCGGCGCACCCTTTACGTCCCCGAAGAGCCCCGGCGGAGACCGTGGACCAGGAAGTCGCGCGGTCCGTTGCGCTCCTTCAAAGTGGCGGCCGCCCCTCCCGGTGGAGGCAACAGGTGACCGGCTGAGACCGGTCCTGGGTCCCTGCTCTCCTTCTTCTCCTCGATTCCGTCCTCAGCGCGGCGGGGGACCGAGGCGGGGACCGCCCCTAACGTGCCCCGCCGGGTTTGTGTCTCCGCAGAGAAGGTGTTCGCCAGCCTCCCCCAGGTGGAGAGGGGCGTCTCCAAAATTATCGGCGGCGACCCCACAGGCAACACTTTTATTTACACCAATGGAAAGTGCGTTATCATAAGGAACATCAACGTGAGTACCCCCCTTCCCCCTCCCCCACCGGGAGCCGGTTCCGTCCTTGCGCAGTTCTTGGTTTAACTCTTCCCCATCCACCGGTTCTTCTCCGGCCCTGTGGCCTGGGCAGGGACAGGACACCATGCACCCTCAGCCTGATGACCACAGCTCAGCAGCCCAGGAAGACCGTTTCAGGTTTATCCAGGTCCGATTCTCTTCATAGGGAAACTGAGGCTCAGATCGGTTCAGTCCGTGGCATAAAGGCTCTGGATTTGAGGGATCAGACAGGCCGGTCAGCTGCTGCGTGACCTTGGGGTGGCTGGTTACTTGGGCCTCTCTGAGCCCCAGTTTCCTCATCTGTAAAATGGAGATGATGAAATGAGGCTCCCCCTACTTCCCCTGGCTGCCTGGCCCACTGAATGAGATGATGCCTCTTTCCAGCCCAGCATGCCTGGCACACACCCAGCTCTGGGTAAATGGCCCTTACTTTAATCATTACTGACAGCCGGGGTCTCCCAGTGTGGCTGAGACCCAGTGCAAAACCAGGAACTGGTTAATTCCCATGAATCATTGGCACAGGCATCCTGTTCCCAGGCTGAGCGTGCTTCTAGAGCCAATTCCTAGGGAACAACTTGCAGATTCCTGTTACTCCTCTGTGATTATTGAAATGACTCAGTCTGCTTGTCAGTCTTCCCACTGCGGGCATTGGGGATTGCAGGCCGAAATCATCTCCCTTCTTCAGTCTGAGTGACAGAATGGGGGATGGAAGTCAGACGTGTCAGCAGCACCATTGCGGGGGTTCTCCTGAGCCGGACTTGGGGTTGCGCCTTGTGCACAGTACCTAGGAAGATGATTTTGCTTGGCGATAATCCCCAGGGCTGTCAACTTAAAGTCACATCTGTCGTGGGTGATTACGCTCTCTGGGTTGGGATTGTTACTGATTAGATGCACGTGCCTTCAGGAACCTTATAGCTTGCTTTGGGAATGAAGGGGCTGTGTGGGCCTCGGCTTCCTGTCTGTAAAAGTAGAGCCCTCTGCAGAGTCTGCCGGCTGTGCCCCCCACCTCCCTGGTGAAGCCTGTGCTGGGAGACACAGCTATGTTCAGCAGCGCCTGCCCTGCCCAGGGTTGCTGGGCACCTCAGCTGAGGAGGTGGCGGGGGGGCGGGGTGTGAATGTGCTTCGAAGGTGCTAACAGCCAATCTGCTAGTCACACGGATTCCTAGAAAGTGGATCCAGTCTCACTCAGAACTGGGAAGACATTGCCAGGGACTTAGATCATGACAATTGGAGGTCTGCAGAGTGAGGGCCTGAAATTTTGAGAACAGTCGAGGTGGCCCTAAGGAGATCCTCACCTGTAGTTTGGCAAATAAGATGGACGAAGGCTTCTCGAGTACAGACCGTGGACCACGTGGGTTGGCCCTTAGGGAAGCAGGTGCATATCGTGGCCCTGCGTTCACGGCCCGATGCGGACCCCACATGAGGTACCTGCTGTGTCTAGTGCAGGGAACCACGCTTCTTACCTGCAGTCCTGCGGTGGCCATCCTGCTGAGGGGTCAGGCTCAGGAGGGAAGGAGGCCAGCAACTGGAGAAGTCATTCATGGTAATGAACAGGTGCCCCCTTTGCGGGAGGCAATCCCTGACTCGTGAAACGCGTGCCGCTGGTCCTTCCAGGGTCTTTATTTTTACCAGTATCCCAGAGTTTCCCATTCTCTTTTGAGGGTACATTCTCTTCCCTTCCCACCTGCTTGTAAGTTTCTTCAGGGCCGGGACAGCACAGGATGCCACTGATGTCCATCGGGCACGTGGCCGCTTGTCTGACTGGTGGGCCCTTGGTACACAAGTAAAAAGGTGGTACAATTATTCTGCGGGCAGAGTACTCCGGTGAGAAAGCCGGGAATCCTCGTGACCACGCAGGGACTGGGAAGGAAGGTGGTCGGTTAGCGTACAGGCTCGGGGACAGAAGAGACAGGACAGGGAGATTGGGACCAGACCCTGGAATGTCCAACAGGTGTCTGGTCGGCATCTCATACTTAACATGTTCAAACCACTTTTGGGCCTCCCACGTGTTCTCCAAGAATAGCAATGCAATTCTTCCAGCTGCTCAGGCCCCAGGCCGTGGACTTGACTCCCCCCTTCTCTGTGCCGTATTTAATTCTTCACAGAATCCTTTCTGACTCTTCATCAGAATTACTTCAGAATATGACAAGTTTTCACTGCTTGCTCTGCTTCCATCCCCATCCAAGTACTCTCCTCTCTCCTGGATTGCTAAAAAGAAAGAAAGAAAGAACGAACCCAGGCAGGTCTCCCTGCTCATTCCCTGGCTCCTGCGGTCCGCTCTCAGCAGCTCCCTGCCTGGTTACGTTAAAGTGACATCCAGTTGCTCCTTTGCTCTCCCTTCCCGTGGCTCAGGATCTCGCCATCTAGCCTCAGTCCACACCTCATGCTCAGCTCCAGGCAAGGCCTGTGGGAATCTGTCCTCGCCATGCCTGTGGCTCAGCCGGGAAAACCAGCTCTCAGGAACTCTCGAGTCTAGACTGACACAGAAGAAGCAGAGGTGCCATGCGGTGCTTAGCACGGGAGGCTCTGAGCACCTGCGGGCTCAGGAAGAGGCCTGGAGGGTCAGGGGTGCCGCAGAGTTCAGGGTCTGGAGAGATGCTCGGGGCTGGAGGGGACCAGATGGGACAGGCAGGACAGGAGTGCAGGGCTCTGGTGGCGAGGGGTTAGGCAGCCCTAGTCCAGAGTCCAGCCCTGAGCCCTGATCTGGACTCAGCAGAACCATTAAAGGACAGTGTCCTGACTGATTCGAGAACAGAGGGCAGAGCCATCTGTGCCACAGAGAAGTGGGCCAGGCTGCTGGAGCAGGGGCACCGTGGAGTTGGGGTTTGGAGGATGAGGAAAAGCCCCCAGGAAGGGGATTGAGACAGAGACAGCAGGGATGGGGGAGAATCGAGATGGAACCCCAAGTGCACGGGGGCTGGAGGAAGTTTGACTCGTACCCCCTTGGTGCCATCGTGGCTCCCGCAGGGCGGCCTTATTAATTTCTCACCACGTTGATGGACAGGTGGGGAGATCCCAAAGCCTTTGGGGCCAGTGGAGAGGGGTCGTGTTTCGGGTTGGTTTACAGAAGTCCACCCTGCCTAGGGGTGGCTGGATGCGCTCACCCAGACCCCTGCCCATCTGGACCCTTGGAATGAGGGCCCCCCGACCCCCTGGGCCGTAACTGCAGGCGACGTGCAACATGTAGACCCCAGAGTGGAAGGGGCCCTTTTTCCTTCTAGTCTCAATGGCAGAATCTCCCCAGCTTCGTGGTGGTGTCCCCTGTAGAAAGGCCTGAAGCCTCAGCTTCGGTGGGCTGGCTTGCACCCTCTACCCACAGGTCCTACCGTGCTTTCCGGAGCCTTACCTGGAAAAGGGCAGTTCTCTACCGTAGACTTGGTGCGAGCATCCTGTCACATGCTCTCCAGGCCTGCCCCGGTCTCCGGGAGCGCTGGCCGATCCAGTCTGGCACGTGATCGCGAGCACCTCCTCGGGCATCCGAGCTGGCCTTCGATGGGCGCGTCGTGTGCCGGCAGCGGCCGAGCAGTTAGTGTGCTGCTAGTTCTGTTCAGTTTCTGCATCTGTGAGAATAATGTTACAGGGTCAGTGTGAGGTTTAACGGAGTTACTGATAAGCGTCCCTGTAGGGTTGTCGGGGCTGTGACAGGTAAGTGGTCTGCCTTCATCCTCACGACCTCCCTGTTGGGCGATGCTGTACACTCTTCAGAGGTGAGGACACCGAAGCCTCAGGAGGTGCTGGGCTGTGAACCAGAGCAGCTGCCCCCAGAGTCTTCCTTCGTGACTCCTGAGTGGCCCCGGGCAGGCAGAGGGAAAGGGGAGAGAGGACAAGAAGGGAGGTGGCGGTGTCCTCTGTCCAGTGTGCTATGGCACCCCCAGGATCATGCAGGGAGCCTTCGAGGTTCCCGTTCTAAAGCTTGACTGGCTTAATTGGGAAGGGGCTGGGCTGGGAGGCAGGAAGGAAAAGGCTTTTGGGGCTAGGAGAGATTGTTTCCTGCTTGGAGCATCAGGGAAGGCTTCTCGAGGAGGTAGGCTTTTGCCTGGGTGTTAAAAGATAATTGGATGTCCCTAGGGGTTGGATAGAAGGGAAGGCATTCCAAACCAAGGGACATTAGGGGAAGCACGTCAAGTGATGTGGTGGTTCGGTAGGGGATAGATGAAGGGCATGATGGGAAGCGGGCTTTGGAGCATAGATAGGGCTACGTTCTCTGGGTGACAGGGCCTGGAAGGTGGAGCAGAGTGATGGTGCTCCTCGGAGGCTGGTCGCCCTTTATGTGAGGTCTTCGTTCACGGCTGGCCCCCGGGGCCTGCCCAGAGCAGATGTGAGGAGTGAGTGAATGGGCCTCACTTGGTGCGGCCTTGCCTTTGAGACGGTGGGTAGGGCTCAGCCTCTCTCTGGGTTCACACCTGCCCTGGAAGCACAGGGTGTGTAGCTGCTTTGGAGCTGGGTACTTGGCAGGAATTTGAGTTTGGCCTTAGTCACCAAGGGACAGGGGGCCCTGTGAGTCGTTAATACACAAGTCCACCACCAGTGGCTGCTTTCAGGAACTAGGAGTATTTAGACAGCCAGGCCACGCCCACTTTGCCTGGTCAGAGTTCGGAGGACACCCCGGGCTGTCTGGAGGCTCCTGGGGACCCTCAGCTGCTACAGAAGCGTGGAGGGCCCTGGGGTGCTGAGTGGAACAGAGTCCCACCGGCTGGTCGCCTTCGGGGTCATAGCGGGCCAGGACCTGGAGGGAAAGCTGCCGTGCCCTGTGATGCCACCGTCACTCTGACTTTACCTGTAAAATGGTGTGGTGATCTCTGACCACCTACCTCAGCACCCAGACCGAGGACAGGAGTGTGAGAGCGCGGGGGAGTGCGGGGTGGCTCAGACGCTGCCGGGCGTGGGCGGAGCTGAGTCCTTCCCCCTTCCGTGTTGTCACCAGCCTCCTCGGGCAGGACAGGCATCAGATAGGTGCCAGGGGAGTTTGGTTTGCTGATCCAGGGGAGGGTCCTGCATGGCTGGGCCCTGGACCAGCCCTCGACAGTGAGGGACATGGGCCGGAGCGCCCTTGCATCTGCTCTGTCTGCGGCTTCTCCTAGCGTCTCAGGGCCCTGAGCTCTGCCCCTCCCTCAGCTAAGTCACCAAGCGGCCCCTGGCAGGCCCTGGGCTGGGCCCTGAGCTCAACAGGGATCAGACACCTGTGGGAGGTTGTGGTGTGGGGGGCAGCTCCTGGCCCTGAGGTGGGCCCGGGGAGCGGAGGGGCCACAGGGGTCTGGGAGGACTGGTGGCAGTGGGGTCAGGCCCTGCAGCTCCTGAGGGGAGGATTCCAAGGCGGGGATGAGGTGATTGGGGTTGGGACTAGAGGCTGGTGGATCGATGGGAAATAGAGATCAATCAGAAAGCTGTCATGGTCCCCGGAGGCACGGGAAGAACTGGATGAACTCTGCAGCGGGTACAGAAAGTGGGTGCGTTTGGGAGCTTCAGGAAGACGGCGGGATGGAGAGTGCGGGGCGGGGCGGGGCAGCAGGCGAGGCGGCAGGAGGTCTGGGGCTCTGTCAGCCTCTCCCACATCCGCTCGCGGCCCACAGGCTGCTGCCTCGAGTCTCTTGGCCTCTGACTGCGAGCGCTGGTGTCGCCTGCAGCAGCACAGGAAGGAAGTCCGGAGGAGGGGCTCCCCCGCCTCCGCACCCCTCGGGTGGACAACCAGAGCCCTGTTCTGGAGGTCTCGTGAGGAGCGAGGGAGGGGCCCGGCCACAGCAGCAGTGCCCCTCAGTGCTCCCGGACTCATTTCCCCGGCAAGTCAGCCCCTCACCCCAAGTCCTGCGCTCCAGCCCCGAGCGGCAGGAGGCGGGTAAGTGGGGAGAGCTGCTGCCCACCGTGAGGCTTGGGTGCGGGCACTGGGCCTGAGTCCTGGTGCCATCCGGACCTAGCTCCTGTGGAATGACTCTGACCTGTGGCAGGACATGGTGGGGACCCGGGAAGTGTCACTTCTGCCTCTAGTAGCAGGCCTCCCTGGGGAGAGCAGTGGCTGCTGACTCCGAGGCAGTCATGCTCAGCCTGGAGACTCCTGCCCCCGCCGGCCCAACTGTTTAGAAGGCAGACGACAGACAGTGACATCTTGTGCAGCCCAGGAGTCTGGTGCTGAGCCTGCCAGGGACTTCCTTGGGAGTGTCACACCCCTGCGCTGCAGATGCCACGCCCGCTTAGGGGGAGGAATCCTCAGGGCAGAGCTTGCTCCTGGGACCACCGCCTCATCTTCCCTCCCTTCCCCGTGGCAACCCCGGAGCCTGCCCTTTTTGAGGCTCTGCAGGGCGGTGACAAGGTCACCAGGCTGAGAGTGCCAGCGGGTGGGTGATTGCCTCAGGATGGCCCCCTCACCTGTGACAGTGCCAGTAGCGCTCACTGTGGGGGCTCTGAGACCCCTCCACCAGCCATGAACCAGACACCTGAGCAAGGCCCTCTGCGGGGCGGCCTGTGCACAGACCGCTTCCACCAGCCCCTCTGTGAGGGGACCTGTCCTTGTCTGGACATTAGACCACAAGGGGCCGATCCAGGCAGTGCGGATGGGCTCAGGCAGACATTTACCGGACACCAGGCGTCGTAGTTTATTGAAGTGTGATTAGGATGCAAGAAAATTCCTGTGATTTAACTCCACACAACTCGGGTTTTGACGAATGTGTGTAGCCCTGCAACCACCACCAAAACGGTGATGGAGAACATTCCAGGCTTCAGCAAAGGCCCCGCCCTGCAGTGGGTCAGCTCCCTCCACCCCGCCCCATGACAGACCTGCCTCCCGCCACTTCAGGTAGCCTTTTCCAGGGCGCATGGGAGAGGGGCCCTGCACTGTGTTGTCTTTCACTCAGCATGACGCTTTGGGGTTCACGCGTGTTGAGCGTGTGAGCGGCCGCTTCTCCTTTATGCCCGCTCAGAGCCCACCGGACAGATTGCAGTTGGTTGCTCCTCCTGTCGGGAGACCTCTGGGCGGTGTCCAGTCGGGGCTCTTACGGGTAAAGCATCTCTGACCGTGCGTGTGACTTTTTGTGGACTTGTGCGTTTACTTCTCTCGGGTAAATACTCAGAGCTGAATGGCTGGGTTTTTGTATGGTACGTTTGACTATAAATAACCAGCTCGACTGTTTTCTGCCAGTTTCGCATTCTTCAGCAGCAGTGCATCAGCATTCCAGTATCCCGTCCCCCTGCCCCCATCCTCGCCAGCATTTGGTAGGGTCTTTTAATTTTATTGGTGCTAATGAGTATGAAGTGGTATCTCATTGTAGTTTCGGTTTGCGTTTCCTAAAGGATTGATGACGTAGAACACTTTTTTATTTGCTTTTTTGCTGTTCATGAGGCCTTTTTTTTTTTTTTTTTAAGATACCTGATATCTTTCTGATTTCATTAGCAAATGTTTATTCAGACATGGAATAATTTGTGAACCACATATTAAGTGCCTACTCTGTCGCATAATAACGAACATTAAGTTTTACGGGTGAACGAGAAAGACTATGAAAATTCTTTTCAAAAACATGTATTGAGCACTTGTTATTTGCTAACTGCTGGGATGGCTAAAGAGATAAATGCACACGAAGCAGAAAAGTCACAGGGGGACTGGGCGGCGAGGGACCGCGGTGTGTGTCATCACCGCCTCTAGGTGTGCGGATGCTTGGGAAGCATGGACGAGGGGGGACCAGCCATCACAGACAGCCTCGTGCGGGAGATGGCACTTAGCTAGACCTGAAGCGTAAGCAGGTGTTAGCAGACAGTGGGCAGTGTGGCTGGCTGACGGAACAGCATTTGCAGACTTGGGGCCACCAGGATCGGCTGGTGGCTGCTGGTTGGCGGGGCTAGGATTTAGGGTGTCCTGGTCTGGGTTGGGTGGGACGGGGGAGTGTGGCGATCCTGTGCCCGGGAGGCTGAGAAGAGCACAGACCTCCAACCTTGTCAGGGGAAGGGGAGGAGCCTGCCGGCGGCCGGAGCACTTGGGGCTCAGGTTGAGGCGCCGCAGCAGCCACTCCGGAAGCTGGAACCTGATGTGCCCGCAGCCTCGCTGGCGGGAAGCTGCCTCTTTCCAGAGAGACTTGGTTCACAGAAAGCTGACAGCGAGTGTCAGGGTTCGTGGCCGAGTCTCTGTTCCCTCCTGGAGGCCAGCTCGGCTGCGGAGGTGAATCCTGAGCCCCTCGGTGTGTCTCAGGTCTGCTGGGCCTCGCAGCAGGGAAGGCGCTGTGCGCCCGATCCCCAGTGCTGGCCCCAGTTCTCATCGGAGTCCATCAACCTACCCATGATCTGTGCTGCGAAAGGGCGTTTCCTAGGTGGGGGTTTTGACAGGAGACGCTCCCAGCCACACTCTCCTCTCTCCCCCTGTGCCTCAGAGCCAGAGGCTCTGTGTCGGGTCATCCCTGCGTGGCAGCTGGGGACGGAGCTGCCTCTGAGCAGGGGAGGCCCGCTCTGGTGGAGTTGGAAGGCAGCTGCCCACAAACAGGAGAAAATCAGAGTCCTGGGTTTTTGTCGTGAAAATTATGATTCCTGTACATATTTCACAAATAACGGGAAAGAAAATCAACTCAAATTTGATAATCATAGACTAAAGAGAAAGAGTTAAAATTATCTGGAAGCCTATCACTGGAAGGCAGGCAGGCAGTAGGTATGTAGGCGGGTAGGTATACTTCTGGGATTTTCCTTAGGAAGGTTTTGACCTGTGTGTCTGTGTGTCATCCCCCGCCCCCCAGGTCCATTAGTTGGGCAGGCAGGAGGCAGTTGCGAGTGCTTCTGGGGGCTCGTGTTCACTTGGGTCTCCTCCCCACAGTACCCAGCCCTGGCTGACATCTACACAGAGCACGCCCATCAAGTGGTGGTGGCCAAGTACGCGCCCAGCGGATTCTACATCGCCTCTGGAGGTACCTGTGTGCGTGCACGCGTGTGTGGCTGCAGTAGCCCTGGGGCTGGGTTGGGCTCCGGCCTGGGAGGCTGTGGGGTGAAGGGAGGTGGCTGTGGAGGGGTTGGGGACGGCTCGTGGAACTGCTGTGCTCAGTTTTGTTTGGGGCCGACAAGAAAAAGTATAAGCCACTGAAAAGCTCCATTCCGGAAGTTCGTAGTTTACAGCGTTCCAGCCAGTTCCAGCCTCAGAGGTCAGCAGAACTGCTCCCGTGAGGCCTTCGTGGGTGGCTGTGTCATGTTTGGCGCTCTGTGTGTGTGTGTGTGTGTGTGTGTGTGTGTGTGTTTCTGAATTGTAGCTTTGTCTTGTGTCACCTTTATTCGTCGCTCCATCCTGGTACCTAGCACAGTGCCAGTCTCCGCCTCGAGACCACTCACCTCGTTGGCGCGGGCCTTTGCGCTCCAGCGGGCCGTGTGGCTCAGTAGGAGGCTGGGCAGCAGCTGGGGCACAAAGGTCTGTCTTGACCTCGTAGGCTGCTTTCTTTGTTCCCCTGATCCCGTGAGGCAGGTCGTCTGCCATTTACAGGCGAGAACGGGAGGCCCAGAAGTTAGCACCTTACCTTGCATCCTATTCATTCATTCATTAATTCATTCACTCATTCATTCAAACATATTTATGGGCTGCTTCGCCTGTGCCGAGCCGGGTGAGTGAGCCAATGCCGGGATTCGTACACACTGGTGGCTGCGTGGCCCGCAGCGCAGCGACGTGTCCCTCAGCAGCTCCCCCTCACTTGCCACGCAGCCTTCCTGGTAACCACCTTCCTGGGCCTTCGTTTTCTCCTTTGTAAATGCGGGTCGCTGGTGCCTGTCAGGTCGGCTTGGGGAGGACCCAGCGTGTAAAATGCCTAGGACGGCCCTGCATAGTGGACAACTGATAACAGGTAACCACAGTGTGTCAAAACCAGGACACACTAGGGCAGCAGATGTGCTGGCTGACGGCTAATGCCGCCAGCTGGGCCTGCACACGGAGGGGCTGGCCAGCGGTTTGGCCCAACATGAGCATTAAACGATTTTGGTGTTTAGACCTACTCCAACTCCCTTGCTAATTTATATCCTATGATTTGTTTTAGCGCTGTGAATATTTTTTCGTGGCCTTGTTTGCCAACAAAATGCCTCTTTATTTAAAGCCCCAAGATTTGGCCCTGGTGCCTTTTAAAATTGTGTCTTCTGAGGAGGAGAAGAATGTATTTGGTGAGGGTGCCCACAGCCTGCTTGGCACAGCTTCCCTGCCCTGGTGCCTTGAGCCGGGAACCCAGCTGCTGAATCACCGGTGAGGCCAGGCCTGCCCTCTGCCATGGCCCCAGGCAAGGGCGTTCCATGGGCGAAGTCGGTGCCCTCGGATTGTGATGCAGAGTCCATCCAGAATCCATGAGGAGTGCTGTGCTGGCTGTCACAGGGGAGCCCACACCAGTAAAGGATCAACGTGGTGTCTTACTTCGATGGAGGAACCGAGGGGGATCTGGGCTACGTGCAGTCTCAGGATTTGTGGGTCGGGGTCACCCTGTACATTTCCAGGACGCTGGTCCTTGCGCTAGAGCGAGACCACAGAACATTTACTGCAGAGCTGAGAGCCTTGAGCTAGAAAATAGTGCGGTGTGTAAGATCCAGGGCGGGGTGGGCTGAGAAAGTGCGGTGCCCTCTGGTTGAGTGGGTTCCAGGTCCCTTGAGTCTTGGGGTCCCCGTGCAATGCTGGATCTTTAGGTCTCTGTGAGTCTGGCTGGTCCGTGTCTGCTGAATGAGTGAAGCTTCCAGAAGGCCTGTTGCGTGAGGAAGCCCATGCCAGGGCCTGGGGCCCCAAGCCCAGAGAGGGTGTGAGGGTGCGAGGGTGCCCTGGTGGGGAATGTGGGCGGGGAGACCCCGCGCGGCCGCGTGAGCAGCTGTGTGAGCAGATGCCACCCCGGGCTGTGTGTCCTCTTGCACCGTGGCGCTCTCTCCCTAGTCCCGTGTCCACCGACACGAGTGGATGTGTGTGTGTGTCGTGTGTGCCCCTCATGACCCCAGGCAGGCGCTTGTCTGCTGTGCCCCCAGCACATTGCACGGGGCTAGGTGCCCATGGCACTCCGTCACTCCGTGACTGCACCAGGGCTGCTGCCCTAGCCAGGCGGGCTGAGCACCTGGCCTCGAGCCCCCGTGTTCTGGCTGCTTCTGAAAAGAACGATGAGCGAGCTGGGCCCTGTGGAGGAGGCCCGGGGAGCCCACGGCAGTGCCCGGCCTGCGGTGGAGCCTGAGCCCTGGAGCAACCCGCAGGCCCCCCGCAGAGCCCCTGGGGATGCGGAAGCCAGGTGCCTATGGCTGGTCTAGACTGACAAGGAGCCTCGTCCCCACAGCAGCCCTCCAGCATCCCCGAAGGTGGCAGGGAGGCACTTACTCCTTGTAGGTGTGAGGCCTGCAGAGGCCGGGGGGCAGGGCCCGCTTCTGGAGGATGCTGCCTTAGGGCGCAGCCCTGTGCACCTGGGCCTCTCCCTCCCTCGGCTCCACCTGCACAGGATGAAAGTTGTCCTCACGGGAGCCAGCTGTAGAGTTCGGGTTAAATGCTTAAGTTGAGAGGGTCGTGGAAACACTGCACCATCTTGCCTGCTGGGAGGGCGTCCCCAGACCTCTGGGCCGAGGGTTTAATCTAAGAGTTAGTGTGTGTAAAGTGTTCCATTTCTCGTGCTAATCTGAGATTTCAGTGCTCGTGTGGGAAGGGGGGCATGGGGGTTGGTGCTTGGAACTTGGTGACAGGGTGGTGGCAGGGAGGGAAAGGGGCTGTTACTTTATCACTAATCTGAGGCGGATGCAAGGCCTGGCACTAGGTTCTGTCTGTAGTCTGATCCTCCCAGATCCACCCCGTGTGTGTGTCTCAGAGGCTCAGCCATGCGGGTGGGACTGTGCTGTGCCGTAATGAGTGGGGGGCTCTGGGCGCCTGAGGCGTTGGCGCAGAGCTGTGTGGGAGCAGGGTCTGTAGACCCCGATGGGGTCCACCGTGCGCTCCCCTGCAGACTGCACAGCCAGGCACCTGGCTTCTGTTAGTGACATAGCAGCTGTGCAGGAGGGGTGGGTGACAGTAGAATTGTCACTTTGTTCAAACGAAGAGCTTTGGATCTCAAGGAAGTTGCCCGAGGCCCATTTAGATGGAAAGAAATCCATCTACAAGGAAAGAAACGCAGACGTCAAATGAGGCTGCATCCTGATACCTTGATGGCCACCGTGCGTCCGGGCTTTCCACCGCCATGCAGGCCTTGGAACTGGTCCCCGTTGGAGGGCACAGACCCAGCAGCGGCCCTCATGGGGGCAGCAGGCTCTGATCACAAGTGCTGGTGGTTATTTACCTAAAACACGTCCCTCCTCCTAGCCACGGCCTGGGTCATCTCCAGCGAGCACGAGCGGGCCCGCGCCCCCAGGCGGTGCTGCGTGACATTGCTCTGTGTCCGCACGGCCCTGGCCCAGTGGTGACCGTGGCTCCCACTGCCCCGTTTTGTCCACAGACGTGTCTGGGAAGCTGAGGATCTGGGACACCACGCAGGTGGAACACCTCCTGAAGTACGAGTATCAGCCTTTCGCTGGGAAGATCAAGGACATTGCTTGGACGGAAGACAGTAAGAGGATCGCAGTGGTCGGGGAAGGAAGGGAGAAGTAAGTGTCTGGCCTCGGCCCCTCCCTCCCCGTCTCCCTGGCTTTGCTTTCTTTCCCGGGTGCCCTGGTGGGCGGCGGGGCGGTGCACTGACAGTGTCAACTGGGACTAGTGCGTGTTGAGCCCCATAGGCGCTGTGCTCTCCGGCTTCCTTCACAAGGGTGCCAGCCTGAGCCACTGGCTCCCTCGGGGTGGGCAGTGGGTAAGCCCCTCGGGGTTTGTCTTGGGGCCCAGGACCGTGTCTCTCTGTGTCCAGAGTCCTAGAGCTCCGGCCATTGTGCCCACGTCCCAGGTAGCTGTAAGCAGGAGAGGGAGAATGGGAAGGAGATGCAGCTCGTGAGGGCAGAGTTGGGGTCCCCCTGGCAGTTACCACAGGGCCATACCTAGCTGCAAGGAGATTGGACGCTTTCTCCAGCTGGGCACTTCGGCTGAGGTCCCCTTACTAAGGAAGAAGGGACAAGTGGACAATGGGTAGGTGGCCCTCAGTGGCTGCTCCCTTATGCCTGGGTCCAGTGACCAGCGGGGCCAGTAGCACAGCCCAGGTTTTCTTATTCCAAGTGCCGTCAGGGTTCCTGCCACGGCCGCCGCCTAGCACTTGACCTTGGCAGACACACATTTATCCCCCTTCATGGGAAGCTCTAATGCGCGTTCTGGTGGGTGCCAGTTCTTCCGCAGTGGTCCAAGTCATTCCCCTCGGTCTGAATTCCTTCTCCATCTGGTTGCAAATAGTAACCAAAACTACATTTTCACCGATGCCAGCGGGGAACAAGGCCTCATCCCCCTCGTAGGAGCGCGCGGAAACTGCGTGTTTCCTGGCCCCACCCAGCAAGGCTTAGGAACCAGTGACGCCGCAGAGCTGGCCCTCGGGCAGGGCCCTTCTGAGGCACCTTCCACAGGGAGGCCGGTTGGCACTGGGCCGTGCAGATGGGGGCATCTGGTTCCTGCCCAAAGGCTCTTGTTCTCGGTGCTTTCGACAAACGCCGTGGAGAGCGGAAGTCACGGTGCCGTGTGTGTCATGCGGCGTGGTCAGGGCCGGCTGCACGGCCGGCACCTGCTCCCCATCTCAGAGCACTGGCGACTCGCCTGTCCGGGTCTCATTGACCTTCCAGGACTGATTTTTTTTTTTCCCGTGACTCCTCTCATCCTGTAAAGGTTTGGAGCCGTCTTCCTGTGGGACAGTGGCTCTTCCGTGGGCGAGATCACAGGACACAACAAAATCATCAACAGTGTGGACATCAGGCAGAGCAGGCCATACCGGCTGGTGACTGGCAGCGATGATAACTGTGCAGCGTTCTTTGAGGGGCCACCTTTCAAGTTCAAGTTTACAATCGGCGTAAGTGGACTTCTGCCTGTAGGGTGGTTTTTGAGGGTGAACGTTGGCTTTGTTTATGGAGCCAGTGGAGTCTAGACGTGGATGGCAGGTCATGGGCATGCGCCATCACCGGGTGGACGGAAAGCAGCGCTCCTGGGGGAGCTTCACATGGAGGTGGAAGGGCCCACCAGTCCCCAGTCCACTTAGGCTGGCGTGGACGGCCCAGCAGGAGGGGCCCTGCACAGGGCGGGCCTTCGCCCTGGGAGCTGCAGGTATTCCGGGGTGGGGGTGGGGCATCTCTCTGAGCCATGTGACCAGGCAAGCATCTTGGCCTGGAAAGTGCCTTGTTCACAAGGCGGGGCCCAGGGCAGGTGTCTGTCAGCCTTCTCTCTGCTTGTGCCACTTTGAGACCTGCTGAGCCACCAAAGTGGAGGAGGAGATGAGCTTCCAGGGACCTCCAGATTTGTTTCCAGTGCCTTCCCAGGAGCGACAACATGACTGGGCACACCTGTAAAGTAATAGGCAATGAGAAGAATTAGACGTTTTCCCGGGAGATGCGTAGTCTGCGTGCCCTGGTGGAGTGTCGCAGGCTCTAGGTGTAAATGGCTCTGTGGCCTCAGCCCCAGCTCTTCACATGCTCCCGACTGGCCCAGGGGCCGACCTTCTCCAGGCCTCTGCTTTCCCATCTGCAGGACGGGTGTGGGGGCCTCGGCATCAGAGCACTCCCACCGTGAGTGTGGGCTGGCTCCCCCCGCCCCACCTCGGGTCCTGCCTCCTTGGGGATTAAGTGAGATAACGGCCTTAAAGTGACTCTGAGGACTCCTGTTAAGTTGCACTAACTATAAGGACAACGCATGGCTGAAGGGTGGGCAGGGCCTAGCTGGGAAGGGCAAGACGCTGCCTCCACTGGTCCCCAGATGGCAGGTCCTGAGCAGTGGCAGAATTTCCAGACCCAGGTCTTGGCTCGGGTCCAGGCGGCTCTCCTAGGGTTCCCTGTTCGTGGTGACATGGGCTTCGTTTCGTCCCGGGGCCGCTGAGCAGGGCCTGACTGATGCCTGCGTGGCAAGTGCCACGTGGGTGGTGTGCCCTCCCCCCAGCACCCTGCAGTTCTCAGGGCCAGCTCCTATGGCCACTGCCTCATGGGGGTGGGGGTGGAGGGAGTTGCTGGAGGCCGGGTTCAGGATCCTGCTTCCTGAGTGGGACAGGGACAGGAATGAAAGGTGAGTCACACTGAGTCACTTAACTGAACGTCTTGCTCTGCACCAGGTTTGGGAGGGAGGAGGTGAGGAGCCCAGGAGGCGGGGCAGGGCTCCTCTCCCTGCCTGGGAGAGGTCAGATCCTCTCTGCTCTGTGACTTCAGCCCCGCAGGGCAGCTCAGCGGTGGTCAGGGGAGCCAGGATCTGAGCCCAGAGTCAGCTCTGACTTGGGCCCTCACCACCCTTCCGTCCTTCGTGTGCTCACTTAGCCAGACTGTTCTTTCTTTTTCTGTTCTTTCTAAGCTGAGAACACGGCCCTCACCCCAGGCCGCAGCCCCGGAGCACTGGGTAGAAAGGCTGGTCCTGGCCAGCTGTCCCCCAGGTGGGCTTGCAGCTTACCCTTGGGTCTTCCTGCGGAGCCCGTTGCGTGAGTCCTGTGTTCAGACCTAGGAGAGATCAGAAGGGGCTGTGAACCAAGCACGGGGGACACTAGGTGGCAGCCCTGTGCTGCAGCCGGGGGGCTGTGCAACCTTCAGGCTGGTCGTGCCCCTGGGCCTCCCTAGGAAACAGGGTGATGATAGCCATTCTCCACTGGCCCCAGGGCTATGGGGAGGACATGAGATGTGAACAGCTGAGTGTCCGCGATGAGTTCCATGGCTTCCACTGGCAGAGGTTCTGTCGGGTTTAGTTGGCCTCATGTAGAAAGGACGGGAGGGCACTCGGGTCTCCCACAGCCCCCCTCATTGAGGTGTTGATGGCTTTTGGGATTAGCGTGCGACTTTGCTGTGCGTATGTGCCCTAGGCCCTCGCAACCCCAGAGTAAAGCTGTGATGTGGAGGATCGGGCAGCGGGCTGCCCGTCCATCCAGGTTCCAGTTCCTGCCACCTTCCTCTTGACTGTGTTTATCAGGGCTGTGGAATAGGGGGTGGACATGTGCGGAGCACAGAGGGGTCAAGTTCAAGTTGCCACCTTGGAAAGGAGAGTTGTGTTCACTTCAGTTTGTGCCAAACCAAAAGTGATGCTTTATGAACCCATGGAGAAGAGAAAGCGGTTCTTCAGACAAAGCAGAGTGACCGTACGTACTTAAGTCGGGCCACGTGCTGGCCTGGTGTGGGGGTCAGTGCTTTTTTTTCTGTTCATGCAGTCATTGGTTTGCTGGGGCTCTGTGATCTGGTTGGGACTGGAACCTTCTGCCGCCTCTACCTACGTGTCTGAGAACAGGGGGAGCCCACCCGTGGCGGAGGGCGTCTGGTCCTCTTGGCCAAAGTGTGTGGTGCCGTGGCTAGTGGCTCTAGGACAAGCTTTTGCCAGCCACCTAAGTGTGGTCTTTACACGTCACAGCCAGCTCTAAACAGGGGTGTCCTACTTGCTTTAAGTAATTGGCAGTGAGTTAAACTAGAAACCTCAGTCTTGGCTGTTGTTAGAAACGCGGCCCTCCCAAACAAGTAAGTTGCTCTAACGTGCAAGGTCTTTGGTGTTTTTATTTTTCTGTTTCCTTATAGTAGGACAGAAGTTTCGGTTCTTGTATTTATCACGTGCCCGCTTCGCAGCTGGCACAGGGCTGGGCACTCAGAATGCCCTGGCCACATCCTCAGCCAGCCCCCTACCCCTTGTGTTGGCTGGTCTTGCTTTTCAAAGAGTGCTTTGGTTATGGTCACACTGGGATGTCAGCAGGGTGAGTAACCCGGCCAGGCTCCTATGGACAGTGAGTGGGCCGAGGAGGAGCAGAATGAGCCTTTTGTCCCTTCGTCTGGCCGTCTCTCTCTGGGGGAAGGTGGTGACGGCCAGCCTAGCCAGGCTGACGGGGAGGCAGGCGGAGGGCAGGCCTCTCTCCTCAGCTAGGCTGAGGCAGCTGAGGGTGCCACGCTGCCCCCAGGTACCTGGAAGGCGTCGCAGGGCGAGGAGGGAGCCGGGCTGAGGCGGGCGCGGGTGGTGGACTGAGGAAAGGCAAGCCAGCGTTCAGGTCGGGGAGCAGACCCCTGTCAGCGCCGCAGCCATGGAGGTGCGTGCCGCGCTCAGGGAGGCGGGAGGGGCAGGGTGTTTCAGCG